AAATAAAAGAACTGGAAATTTAAGTCAAACTATGATTCTGGAAAAAGGAAATGACAATGAAAGGAATTTCAGGAGAATAGGAAAAGGGGGGAAGGGAGGAGCTTGAAACTGTTCTCAATTGATTTGGTTGAGGTCAGATCTCACATTAAAGAAGTAATCCCCACTGCTATCCAAAACTTTGAAATGCAAAACTGAATTTTTTTTCCACTTTGAAATAAAGGTTTTGTATCATTTTTCCATCTCCCAGTTTTATTCAAAGATGCCTTAGATTGAGGCTCTTACTCCTTTGCAAACACTATGACTTTTACTTCTCTCTTGGCAATAATTTTAATTTGCAGATCAAAGTCCACAGGGAGAAGGTGGGGCAGGGAAAGAACAATTATTTAAGTTGAAAAGAAATGAAGATAACACTAACAACCACCTTTGGAAAATAACTTTAAATAGTCTAGTGAGACCAAAAGCTGGTTGGGGGGCCCTTGGCAATTCAAGTCTGATGAACAAGCAGTCCTAGTCCAAATGTATGCTAACTCAAAACCTCATAGGCAGTTCCAGGCTACACACATAGCATATGGTTATTTACCTTCTCAGAGGCATCCACTCTATTATATTTACCTATCTATTTTATATCTCCTTATTTGTGGACATACTGTTTCCCTCCAATAGAATAGAAATTCTTTAAGGTTAGGAATTGATTGATTGATTGATTGATTGATTGTCACTGTATCCTTCATGCCTAACATTGTGCCTAACTTAGTATATACTTATTGAATTGAATTGACTGGTGGAAGAGATGTGAAAAATCCCAGTTAGGCGGTCAGCATCAGTGCCCATTTTTCTTGACCTTTAGGATTATCCATTCCACTTATCTCCTCTATTTGCAGGGGTTGGAGAAATGAGTCAGCTCTCCTAAGAAGACAATCTGAAATACTAAAGTTTAAAATGTCATATGACTATGACATGTTAACAATTAACTCTCTGATTAAAACCTTCTGACTGCAAAAGAATGCCAATTATACTTGCCCTAATTTATTGATTAATTTCTATTTTTGTCAATCTAATTCAAAAAACATTTTTTAAGCACCTATGTGCCAGGCACTGTGCTAGGCATGACAGTTCCTGTATTCAAGGAGCTAACCTTGGAGGGGGGCAGAGGGGTGGGGAGGAAGGAGAGAAAGAGAGGGAAGAAACCACCACACATGCAGAGACAAAGTAAATACAAAATATTCTAAAAATAAACACAACATTGGCTTTTCTAAGCGACTGCCCTTGAGCTAAGCATTAAAGGGAGTTAGGGGTCCCAAGATGTGGAAGTTAAGGGTGGGGGAAGGGGAATTCCAGTAATGGGACATAGCCTCTAAAAAAAGCACAGAGGTAGGAAATGAAATTTCAGGTTTAGGAGCATCTAGGAGGCTCTTGTGGCTGGAAATACAGTACATGTTCTAATTATCCTGGAAAGACAAATCAGAATCAGATTGAGATAAGCTCTAATGCCAAACAGAGGAGTTTGTATTTATACTAGAACAATGAGCTGCCAAAACTTCTTGAGCAGGTGCATGACATGGTTAGACTTATACTATCGAAATATCAAGTTGGTGGTGATATGGAAGATGGAGTGTATTATCAAATGACTGGAAATAGGGATATCACTCGGCTAACTGGAATAGTCTGAAGAAATGGAATAAGGGCTTGAACTAAGGTGTTGGCTGTGTGAGTGGAGAAAATGGCATGGATGCAAGATTGTGTCTCTGTAGAACAGGACCCCAAACACTTACTTAAGATTTGCTTTGCATATACTTATCTTTGTACATGTTTGTTGCTCAGTAACGTTGGACTCTTTGTGACTCCATGAACTTGGGCTTTTCTTGGCAAAGATCCTGGAATGGTTTGCCATTTCCTTCTCCAGTATGCCCCCATTTTACAGATGAGGAACTGAGGTAAATGGAGGTTAAGTGACTTGCCTAAGGTCACACAGCTAGTAAGTGTCTGGGGCCATATCTGAACTCAGATCTTCCTGACTGCAGGCCTGGTGCTCTATCAATACTGCACCACCTAGTTGCCCCTTGTACATGTTGTACATGATAGAAAAGTAAGATACTTGAAAGCAGGGACTGTCATTTTTGTCTTTGTATACACAGTGACTGGCTTAGTACCTAGTAGTTGCTCAATAAGTGCTTATTTAATTAGATATGGGGAGGGCGAATAGTCAAGGACGACTCTGTGGCTGGGATCCTGAAGGGTTCAGGAAGGGTTCAGGAAGGGTGATGATACCCTGAGAGAAACAAGGAAATTAGGAGGGGGAGTGGGTTTTGGGGAATGTGCTGAATTTTGGGTGTCTGTGGGACATTTCTGGTGGGGATCTACACAGGCAGTTGGAGCTCAGGAGAAAGATTCAATTATGTAGATTTGAGAGTCCTCAGCATAGGGATCATGGTTGAACCCAAGGTAGCTGAGATATATTGTAAATACAGGTTCTTAAAGTTATAACAGATTTCTGTAAGGCAAATTCTACTTTGTTTTTGATTTATTTATTTATTTATTTTTATTTAAGTGAGCTGGCCTCTGAGCCAGGAAGACCTTGGTTCATGCTCCTCCTCAGACATGAACTGGCTGCGTGAACCTGGGTTTAGATGTTTAACCTCTCAAGGTCATAGGCAACACTCTAAAACTATAAGTTGCAAACAAAGGACCAACCTACATTGGTAGAGAGAGTTCTCTCTGCTAGGAATTCCCTCTAATGATGAAACATAAGTCTAAAGTTTATCCTTAACATTTTTTTGGGGTGGCAACTATTTGATAGTGTTTCAGTGAACTCCAAACTCATTTCAAGTGCCAAATGGGGAAAAAAGAGGCAGCTACTGCGATCTTAGGATGTGCTGACATGATGCTTTTGGCGCCAGACCCACAGTTGGTAGAATGGAGCAACCAACCTAACCCATCCCAGAAAGTGGCCTAGGGAGAGGGTGGAACAGGGCAGGCAGCACCCCTTTTCCTCTGGAAGAGCTGCCCCTGGGGTTGATGTGTTAGAACTGGGTCTTGGGGCAAGGCAAAGAGGCAGAAGTGCTCCTTGGTCAGCCAACCTCTTTCAATGCCTAATTTCTCCAAGGATAGACTGTCGGGAAAAAACCCTGACTAATTCTGAGTTGTCCAGAAAAGATAATTCTTAGGGCCTTGTGAGTGAGATACCAAGTTGCCACTTACTGAAGATTTTCATGTTAAACTTGCAGGCCCTTGTAAGACCATCCAGTCAAATTTTCTTTCTTTTCTTTTATTTTTTTTACAGTGGAGGAAACCAAGACTAAAAGGAGATAAAGGGATTTGCCACCCAAGGTTACTGAGGAAGCAACTGAGGCAAAGCCCTTTCTGCCAACCCAAGGTCATCTGTGGACAGCTTTGGGGATGAAAACTCTAACTTTTTTATAAATACAGCATAATTTCAAAAATACATTTTCTTTGGTTCTGATAGCACTTCAAAGAATATTGTCTTCTAACACTTAAAAGGTAAGTTTCCTTTCCAAATCATGACTGTCCTAAATTGGGAGAGATACCCATACAATTTCACTGAACAAATAATATGCATTTTGCCTTTTAAGAACTACAGCTACTCAAATTGTTATAATCACTGTATACAGGAACTCTTCTTGGGAAGCAGTGGATTTAAAATGGGCATTTTCTATAGGTTAGATTTTCACAATGGTAACATTTTTAGGTAGTAATTAAAAATTCAATAGAAGAACTTGCTGAATTGTAGCATGTTTATTTCTAATACTCTATTTTAGCATATGGGAAACCCTTCCTCAGCTGGGAATAATCTATAGTCTTTCAAATACTAACTATTCCAAGAAATGCACTGTGGGGAAGAAAAAAGAAACAAGTTATAACACTATATAATGGAGCAGAAATATGCAAAATGTTTCATTGAAGTACATCAGACAGAAAAGAGGAAGTATTGTTTAATTTACTCCAGAATAAAAACATTCCAAACAGTTTCAAATGCCCCTCTAGTATGTGTCTGAAGGAAAAGAAACAACCTTTTACAAAAGAAAACTAGTCTATTCCTTTGATACTAAGACAACCTGTAGAAATGGGAACATCACTTGACTGAAAAAGGTTGCCTAGGTACCTTTATAATTAGAAAAAGACTCCATTGCAATCATAAAATCTTAGAGCTTGAAAAGAGCACAGAACACTTATCACAACCCCCTCATTTTACATATGAAGAAACAGAAGCCCAAGCTCTCCGAGCAAATAGATGCACTGATATTTTAGAATGTTTTCTTTCATACAACCTATTAAAACTGGTACCATATCCTTTCTGTCTGCTCAAAGCCTAAATTCACAAGTCATTCCTTATGTGTAGACATTAATAATTAACAAGTTGCTTTTCAGCTGGAATGCTCTTTTACTGTTTTCTTTAAATATTTAGCATGCCATATTGTATAATGTCAACAAACAAACATCTGTAAGGCTCAAAACAAGACATCAGATTTACAGATTCAAAAGTATGGCACAAAGGTGCTGGATCTATCACAGAATTTTTTAAAACATTCAAAATACTTCATACAAAAAAAGTGAACTCATGGGTGGTCAAATGCCACTAAATTCATTTAAACAACATGTACATGAGTAATTTAAATAAGACCATAGAAATCAAAGGAAAACCACTATATAAAACTCCCTCTTTAATAATTAGGTCTATGTTCCACTAGCAAATATCTGGGCATTGCTTCTTTTTAAGGTATAAAATGTCCTCGCAAGAAGAATCCCATTTCATATTCACAGTACAACTGGAATTACATTCACATTGGTCACAATGGCTGCTCTGAGCCAGGTTTTCTAAAATGAGGTAGGTAAAAAATTCAGGAGTTTCAGATGGCTAGGATACATTTGTTTTATATCTGCTCTTCTTCAAAATGGAATTTAAAATGTTAACCATGTGGTTAAAAAAAACTTAATGAAAACCTTGCCTAAAAAAAAGAATAAACACTATTTCAAAAAAGGCAGACCATTATAAAATACAGATTCTTCTCTTCATTTAAGAACAAAATACAACTGAATCGCCAACTCATAACACCTCACAGGGCCAGATGACATGGACTGACCCCAAAAAGTTTATACCATGTCATTGCCTTTGGCCTAGGAGTACCGCATATAGAGTACCAACAAACACTGAAGTTATTCAGTTAAGGGACCAGACCAGCTGTTGCCCTTTTTAACCTTTCACCCTTAGTACCCAGGGTTTAACAGTTATAAATGTGAATTGAATTTCTGAATGATTTGTGAATTCTCTGAGGATCTGACACTCGCAGGAGATTCAGGCATGAATTGATGGCACCCCCCCAGCACCCTAGGGAGGTCTAGATTGGGGGATGTGCGTGGGAGAAGGTGAGACTGGGCAGTGGGGACCAGGTATGTATGCCATGGGGTGGCAGGCCGGACAGTGGTGGCCAGACCTGCGATTGTGACACAACGCAGGGCTAATGGCTCTGGAAGAGGTCAGTGCCTGGCCGGCGCTTGGACCCCACGATGGAGGCCTGGGTGGAAGCAGAAGGGAAGGCCGGGAGGCCCGGTCTGGCTTTGGCCTTCTTTCGGGGCGCCATGGGGGAGGCCCCCAGGAACTTACTGAAGGAGCCAGACTTCCTGATGCCGCGGGCCAGGTCCTGCAGCATCAGGTCGTCGGCCAGCACGCCCAGGAAGGCGCTGGTGGTGGAGCTGAGAATGGATGCGGCCACCTGCACCGGCCGCTTGGCCCGGCCGTTGTGCTCGGCCGGGCCGCGGAGGGCGGGGTCGCCCAGCAACAGACGCAGCGCATACGAGGCGCCGGGCCGCAGGTACTGGTAGGCGCGCCGTCCGCTGTGGTCTCGGACCAGCACCTGCGCGCCGAGGCGCTCCACCAGCAGGACGGCCGCGTCCTCGTGGCCGTGAAGGGCCGCCAGGTGCAGCGGGGTGTAGCCGCCGTGCGAGCGGGCGTTCACGTCGACGGGCGACCCCCCGCGGCGCGCCACTTCCACCAGCTGCAGCACCATCTCGCGGTCGCCGCTCTTGGCTGCCCAGTGCAGGGCCGTGAATCCGGACATGAAGTCGCGCTTGGCCGCCAGGCTCCGATCCCGCAGCAGCAGTCCGTGAAGCTGGTGAGTCCAGCGGCCACCGGCCGCTCTCACCAACCACTCGTGCTCGGCTGGCTCCAAGGGCACGGTGGGCGGCGGCTGGGGGACGGCGGAAGGCAGCTCCTCGACCTCGGGGCTTAGCAGGCGCGGGCCGGCCCTGGACAGGCGCCGGAGGTGAGGGGACCGGCCGCCCCCCAGTGCGAGACCCAGGCCCGGCTCCTCCACGGAGAGCCGCCGCCGCAGCCGCGGGGAGTCCCCGGGCACGAGCAGCAGGGACGACGCTGCCACCGCCGGCTCTTCCGACAGCTGCCGCCGCAGGCCCTGCTCCTCAGCCCGGACGCGGATCACCGACGGGATGCAGCGGACAGGCAGCATGCAGGGCTTCTGTGGAGGGGCCGCGGGCGTGTGCCTGGACGGCAGGGCTGGAGTTGGGGTGGGGGCGGCGGCAGTGGCTCCTTCTTCCAGGTCTGGGGACGGGGGCAGCTCCTCTGACGGCGGGGATGGAGGCAGCTCCAACGACGGCGGGGACGGGGGCAGCTCCAACGACGGCGGGGACGGAGACGCGTGCTCCTGGGCAGCAGCTGGATCGGAGGACGCTTGCAGCGGCGGCTCAGCCAGAGGGTCCGCTGCCAGCTCCTGGGCCGCGGAGGTCGGCGGGTCCCTGGGGAGCCGGTCCCCAGCGGCTTCGGGCTGCGTCGGGGGCGCGGGCGGTGGAGCGCAGGAGGTGCGCGGCTTCTTGCGCAGCACCACGAACTTGACTCCGTCCAGCTCTTTGACTACCGCCACGTCGTTGACTAATTGCTTGAAACATTTCCTGCGAGCAGCCCGGCCGCCCGGGTCCCCCGCGTCCAGCAGAGGCTTGAAGCGGCTCACGAGCTCCGAGTTGCGCACCTTACCCCCGCACTCCTGCAGGAAGCCCAGCACGGCCGCCTGGCTCACTCCTGCTGCCGCAGCCGCCGCAGCCGCTGCCAGCGCCATCCCTGCAGGCTTCGGGGTTGTCCGGATCTTCTCCTGGCCTTGGCAGCTCCGCTGGGGCGCCCCTCCCCCGGCTCTCCTGGAGCCCGCTTCCCACCTGTCTGCCCTGAATGGCAGCTCCTTCCTCGGGGCGCTGTTCCCAGTCTCTGGCAGGTGGGCGCTGCCAGGGGAGGGTGTCTGTCTGGGAGGGGGGGAGGATCCACAGCAGAGGGATCTGGGAGTTGTAGTCTGGGCAGGCTCAGGCTTACCTGAGTTTCAACCTTTGCGGTGTCCCCTCCGACTCCCTTCGGAGGGCAGTTACACCTGTCCTAGCTAGACCTAGGGAACCTCGCCCCTCCGACATCTTCTCCTTCTGGTTTTTTAGTTGGCCGACCCAATTAGAGCTGTTTACCATTCCAATGGGCACTGAAGCTCTGCCTACTATTGACAGTTTATACAGCCTGAGCTGTGAGTTGGAATACCCTGACTTCTCTCCTTCCAACCCCTTTGGAAATTCAGGCACATTTTAATGCCTACTCCCCCTAAACTCCCCTCTTGTAGTCGGTTGCTATTCGTCAGGGAAGTTCAATAACTTTAAAGTGCCAAATGTCTTTCTTGCCTCATTTCTTATTCATTTGAAAAATTAAAAATGAATATGTGATGCTTAGTGCTGCCTGTAAGGTAATACATCTGCATTTTGTTTATGTACTTCAGAATATTCAGACTTGATTAGGGTAGTCTTAAAATATCAGGTAACAGTAGAGATTTTAGGTTAGTTTTAAAACAATTCATTTTTAGTTATTTTCAATGCACATTCTCAGGAGCCCATGTACATTATTAAAAGAACTCTGAAGTATATCACCTAACAACCATCAAATCATCCGAGATAGTAGAAGATTTTTAAAAATTCAGTGTTGGGGGCCATAGCAAAAATCAGGAGCAATAATTCAGACTGTTTTGGAAAGCAATGTGAAATTATATAATAAGTTTTTAAAATTTCTCATATTCTGTGACCCAGCAATTCCACTGTTAGATTTATATTGCATAAGGGCTATTGACAGAAAGAAAAAAACCTATTTGTACAAAGTAGTACTATGTAAATAGTTTAAAAAAATTAGAAACAAACTATATTCCTAGAGGGGGAATAACTGGTATGTGAATGTAAAGAGAGGCCCCTGAGTAGCATAGATGACTCAGCCTTGGAGTCTGAAAGACCTGAATTAAATCCTTACTAGCTGGGTGATCTTGGGCAAATAACTGCATCTGTTCTTAGTACCCCAGGCCACTTTATGAAATTCTAAATTACAGAATAGCAACTGATTTACATCAGTGGAGAAAGTTTCCATACCAGGGAGTTCACTTCACTGAAAAAAAAAATCCTAGGTTTAGTCTCTCCCTACCACCATTAATTTAATGAAATATTTTATGATAAACAATTGTGAAGAATTATTTTTAAAATATATATTTAAAATTTTTTTAATTTTAAAATTTTATTTATTTTATATATTTTGTCTTTCCCCATTACATGTTAAAACAATTTTAAAACATTAAAAAAAATTTTGAGTTCCAAATTCCATCCCTCTCTCCCTCCCCTTACCCCTCTCTGAGACTGTAAGTAGTCAGATATAGGTTATACATGTGCAGTTATGTAAAACATTTCCATATTAGTCATTTTTTACAGGAAGACTTAAATAAAAGAAAAAATGAAAGAAAGTGAAAAATAGCATGCTTCTATATATATATTGAATATATTATATTAATATATATATTAAGCGATATCAGTTCTTTCTGAGGAGGTGGATAGTATGCTTTATCATTAGTCCTTTGGGATTGTCTTGGATCATGGTATTGCTGAGAATAGCTAAGTTATTCACAGTTCTTCATCAAATAATATTGCTGTTACTGTGTACAACCTTATCCTGGTTCTGTTCACTTCACTATGCATCAATTTGTGTAAGTCTTTCCAGGTTTTTCTGAAATCATCCTGCTTATTGTCATTTCTTTTATAGCACAATAATATTCCATTACAATCACAAGCTTGTTTAGCTACTCCCTAATTGATGGATATCCCTTTGATTTCCAATTCTTAGCCACCACAAAAAGAGCTGCTATAAATATTTTTGTATACATAGGTAGATCCTTTTCCCTTTTTTTGGATGTCTTTAGGATATAGACCTAGCAGTGGTATTGCTGGATCAGTGGGTATGCACAATTTTATAGCCCTTTGGGCATGGTTCCAGATTTCTCTCCACAGTGGTTGGATCAGTTCACAACTCCACCAGCAGTGCATTAGTGTCCCAGTTTTCCCACATCCCCTCCAACATCCAACACTTTACTTCTTTGTCATATTAGCCAATCTGACAGGTGTGAGGTGATACAAGAATTATTTTTAAAAGGAAGACTTTTGAAATAATTTAGTGATGAAAGCAGATCCATAAGATCTCTCTCTCTCTCTCTCTCTCTCTCTCTCTCTCTCTCTCTCTCTCCCTCCCTCCCTCCCTCCCTCCCTCCAGCTAAAACAGTATAAAGACATTAGTCAGCAATACAACAATGCAGTGGACTGTTCTCTACTACATCATTATGATTTTTAAAAATAACAAAGTACATAACTTTTCTTTCTACTATAAGTATATGTTCAATGTACAATCATTCACAGTCACTTTTGTGGTCCTAGTAGTTAGTAACTTGGTAGTTAATTTTGTTTAATAAATTAGTGACAGCACTATATCATTTGTAGATAATCATAAACATTTGTTTTTAAACTCTACCCATCCTCCAAAAGCCAGCTCAGATCTCTCATCTCTGTTAACTCTTCCCCAGTTATTTTTGGTAATTTCTCTGCCATTTGAACTTATATAGCTTATAGGTAGGTCATAGAATGTGGAACTGGAATTCACTTCAGCAAACTTTTATTAAATTCCTATTGGGATGGAGCCAAGATGGAAGAATAAACAAACAAACAAAAAAAGAACCCTACCATAAAGAGCTATTAAGGTGGCAAGAAAGCTCGACACACAAAGTGAGAATGAAAGAATGACTCTAAAACATCTGCAAGCAAATCCTCATAGGAAAATACATTTTGGGCACAAATTCAACTGGAATTCCTGAAAGAGATGAAGCAACACCTTCTCATTGAGGGGATGAGGGGTGGGGAGGGAGAGAGAGAATTTGGAACTCAAAGTTTTAGAAATGAATGTTAAAATTGTTTTTACATGTAACGGGGGAAAAACAAAATACCAAATAAAAGCTAAAAAAAAGAAAAAAGATGAAGCAAGAGTTTTTAAAAGTTAAATTTTTTTTAATAAATGAGAGCACTTAAAAATGGAAAAGAAATGAGAGCCATGGAAGAAAGAATTGGAAGAGAATTAACAGCTTGGCACAATAGGTACAAAACTCTGCCCAAGCAACAAACTCTCTGAAAATTCAAATGGGTCAAATAGAAGCCAATGATTCCATGAGGCAACAAGAAATATGTTTTTAAAAAAATGAAACATTTCAGAAGACTGAAAATATCTAAGAAAATGTAAGGTATCTCATAACAAAAACAAATTGAGGAGAAAATAATTTTAAAATCATTGGACAATCTGAATTCCGTGACCAAAGAAAAGAGCCTAGACATTCTCTTTTTTTTTAATTAATAGATTTGTTTATTTATTTTTAATTTTCAACAATCACTTCCGTAAGATTTTGAGTTCCAAATTTTCTCCCCATCTCTCCCCTCCCCCATCCCAAGATGGCATGTAAATTGACATAGGCTCAACATAGACATTCATATTAAACCTATTTTCATATTAGTCATGTGAAGAACCAATGGGGGAAAACCATGAGAAAGAAGAAACAAAAAGAGAGAAAGAGTGCAAATAATATGCTTCAATCTGCATTCAGACTCCATAGTTCTTTTTCTGGATGTGGACAGCATTTTCCATCATGAGTCTTTCAGAGTTGTCTTAAATCCTTGCATTCTGAGAAGGGCTAAGTCTATCAAGGTTAATCATCACATAATGTGGCTGTTACTGTGTATAGTGTTCTCCTGCTTCTTCTCATTTACTCTGCATCAGATCATTTATAAGTCTTTCCAGGCTTTTCTGAAGTCCACCTGCTCATCATTTTTTAATAGCACAATAGTATTCCATTACATTCATATACCACAACTTGTTCAGCCATTACCCAGCTGATGGGCATCCCCTCAATTTCTGCTATAAATATTTTTATACATGTGGGTCATTTTCCCATTTGTATGATCTCTTTGGGATACAGACTTAGAAGCGGTATTGCTGGTTCAAAGGATACAGTTTTATAGCCCTTTGGGTATAGTTCCAAAGTGCTCTCTAGAATGGTTGGATCAGTTCACAACTCCACCAACAATGCATTAATGTTCCAATTTCCCCACATCTTCTCTAGCATTTATCATTTTCCTGTTTTGTCATGTTAGCCAATCTGATAGGTGTGATGTGGTATCTTAGAGTTATTTTGATTTGTATTTCTCTAATCAATAGTGATTTAGAGCATTTTTCATATGACTATAGATAGCTTTAATTTCTTCATCTGAAAACTGCCTGTGCATATCCTTTGACCATTTATCTATTGGGGTTTGACCATTTATCATTTGGGAGGCATCCTCTTACAAGAAACCTTAAAAGAAAACTGCCCAGATGTCTTAGAAACAGAGGGAAAAGTGGAAATAGAATCCACCAATTACCTCCTGAAAGAACATCAAAATGAAAATTCCCAGGAACATCATAGCCAAAACTCAGTGTTTCCAAGTTAAAAAAAAAATTACTGCAAGTATCCAGAAAGAAAGAATTCCAAGTACCAAGGAGCCAGTCAGGATCACACATAATTTAACAGCCACCACTATAAAGGAGTAGAGAACTTAAAACACAATATTGCAAAAGGCAAAAGCAATGGTCTTACAACCAAGAATAGCTTACCCAGCAAAATTGAGTATAATGCTACAGGGGCAAAAATGGATCTTTAATGAAATAGAGGACTTCTAAGCATTCCTGATGAAGAGACCAGAGCAC